ATTGTACATTTATTTGATTTAAAAAAATAATATGTCACGATTTGATGGTCAAAGTCCATTTTACAATGTCATATGACGAAAAAATCCATGACGACATCCCTGTACTAAAAATTAGACATGGTCGTCATCGTGACAAAGAATGTTTTACAGTTAATATACCGAGGGTAAATTACGTATCATTGCCTCTGTGTCAGACCTGACCTCTATTATCCTTAAAACTTCCCCTAATTTCTTTAACTGTTACATCATATTATAAATTTGTTGCTTATGTTTCTCAAATTAATATGACATACCTGAAATCCTTACAGACAAATTTTGTCCACAGGACTTACCTTGTGATCACCTTCCAATCACAAACGAGTATCGCATCCTCTTCCTCGGCAAGACGGTTGCGGGTAAGACCACGCTATGCAAACTGGTGGCAGGGGGCGCGGGGGAGGCCAGCCTGCGCATTAAGGAGCGGTCTGGTCAGTTCCTCATCGAGGACGATGTGGGTGCCATCGGCCAGGACGGCACCTCCACCACCCTGCAGCCCACGCTCATCCCCTGTCCTTCCGGCTGGGAGGGGGACACACACGGTCCTGCCGTAGTGCTTTGCGACTGCCCAGGTTTTGGCGACACGAGGGGCTGGAACGCTGAGGTCCGTCAACTAGAGCAAGTGCGGCAGGTCGCCCTGGAGGCAGCCGCGCTTAAAGTGGTCCTCGTCGTGGAACACGCGTCAGTCATGGCAGGCACGTGCGTCGACTCCTTCGTCAGCCTGGTCGAGTACGCCGTCGGCCTGCTCAAACACCTAGACAAGTACCGCGCGTCCGTGTGTCTGGTTGTCAACAAAGTGCCCGCCACGACACGGAAGGTGCGCGACGACAAGGGCAAGTGGCACTACGTGTTAAAGCAGGACGAAGAATTCAAGCAGGAGACGAGGAGCTTCCTCTACGAGGTGTTGAGAGTGCTACGGGGCGGCCTAACGCCGGGCGGCCTGACGCCGGGGCAGGTGACCTCCGAGCGTGTAGAGCAGTTCGTTTCTGACCTGCTGGAGGACGACAGGCTGGCCTTGCTGCGTTGCCCGGACGAGGCCGTTTCTGTGGAGGAATGCGAGCTGCTGCAGGACAGCAAGAAGGGCGTGCTAGTGCTGCTGCGTGAGCAGCTGCAATGGGTGGCGATCGACAGGGAAGACCTGGGCTACCCGCTGTCGCTGTCCGCTGGCATGGAAGTCTCGCGGAAAGTGCAGGTCAGTGCGAAACGATAGCGTTTTTCTGTAGTTTTAGTATTAAAGTGTTCTTGACACAATGTCTTCCCTTCCTTCAGAGTCTCTGTGAGTCCATCCCACGGCTCATGGTCATCGCGGTGCAGGCCCTGAAGGAGCACTACGTGTCCCTGCTCCAAGACAGGGACGTGGAGTCGGCCAAGACCTTGTTGAAGGAGCATATGCAATGCCTGCAGCAAACACCCGGAATCCCGTGCGAGACATGCTTCAGCAACGTCAACCTCGCACAACTCGTGCAGAGCGTCACCAAGCACATAGACGAGCTGAAGCGTTTGCAGCGGGTGGTCGATGGGGATGTAGTCTCCGAAGTGGAGCTACTGGTGGTCAAGCACAAGCAGGCCATTCGCGCCTTCCTCGAAGGCTGGGAGCACTTCTTCGACTTCCACGAGCAGCTTAGTGACTTGGTATGGTCGTACGACGTGCAGTCCCGCCAGTCTGACTTCGATGTGAGAAACGTGGTCTCCTGGGGGCGGGGTGAGCGCGAGGGGCGGTGCGGCGAGCAAGCCAACGATAGAGCGGGGGCGGCCGGGGCGGCGAGCCACATAAGGGTGACCGCTTCCAACGTGCGAAACTTCGTAAGCGTGCTACGGGAGCAGGGCCTGCGGGTGGCGCCGGGGCTGGACGAGGTGGAGTGGGAGCCTGCGATGCTCAAGCGGACCAACGCGCTGCTCGCCGAGGCCCTGCAGCACAGGCCGAGCGTGCGCCGCGTCGGCGCCGCGGAGATCCGCATCGAGGGCATGTGTATCGTGCTGAGTGCAGTGCTGCCCCAAGTCCTAAACAAGTTCAAGAGCGGCCAGATCACGATACTCGCGGGGGACACAGTCTTCGTCGACTGCGACGTGGTGGCGACGGGCAAGCGCCTCCGGATGGTCATGCTGGCCCCCCGGTGGGAGGTCACTAAGGAGTGCAAGTTCGAACTAGACGGCAGTCCTGCAGATATCACCCTGAGATGGAACCACTTCTCGCGCAGGTCGTTTATTATGCGGGAACCGGGTGACCGCGGCTCTGACGGCGCCCCGGGCGAGCCGGGGGGCTCCGCCGGCGCCTTCCTGGGGGCGTGCGCCGAGCTCATCAACGGCCAGCGTCTATTGATCTCTGCATGTGGCGGCAGAGGGGCTGACGGTGGGAACGGGACAGCCGGCGCAACTGGGGCGGATGGGGCAGATGCATGGCCTGCCTACTTTAGTGAGAGTAGGCAGTCTAGGTTGAGTGACCCTTCGGTGATCTCTACTATCTTCTACAATCAGCGTTGTAGAACCTTCTACGGGTTGCCGGGCCAGCAAGGGGGCGATGGTGGGCATGGTGGGAAAGGAGGCTGTGGGGGTCTCGCAGGAGAAGTGGTGACACTTTTACCTGGGGATGACTCTTCATTGCACGTCCGCTACCGAGCGGAAGACGGCAAGAAAGGCGAGGATGGGAAAGGGGGGCTGGGGGGCCTGGGAGGGAGGCAAGGCAAGAACCTAACTGGAAGATTACACTTCCTATTTTTTATACCAGTGGGAGTTTCAACTGGTGATTCAGCCGAGGAGCGAAGCAGGGCAAGCAGCGGGACAAAGGGGTCAACTGGGGCCAACTGTGCAGACATGATTGAGCCTCAAGATAGCGAAAAGTTTTCTAAAGCTGAGACGAGGGAAGCGCTTAAAGCACACAAGGAAATGTCCCAACAGCCCGAGGAGCACTTGTCTCACAGGCGGCGGACTGTGATGAAACAGTTCTCACGAATGGTCGACGATCAGCTTGAGCGAAATGTTGTTTCTCGATTGGTGAGCAGCCGAGCGACCGAATCATGTTTAAATTGAAAAGAACTTGGTCCAAGGAGGTCAGGCTAACCGACAAAGGTGAACAATCATTATAATCTGCTCTTGCTTCAGCTCCTCTTTAAAAGTTTTCAAGATGAGGTTGATATGATGACAGGGTTCAAACCGGATCTGTAGTTTCATTTTCCCTGAGTTTTCCCCGATTTCCATTCGAAAAAACCGTTTTTCCCTGACATTTTTTAATTGAGAGAGAATGCCAATTTTGTAAAATTTAGGCGAAAACAAACTATTATTTCGCAGAAAAATGAAATAATGCTTTATAAGATAAGTCAAGAAAGATAATAATCATTCTTACCAAGGCGTCATGGCTAAAATTGGCCCATGCGTTCACAATGCCATGATTTTCACCCAAACTAGCATATTTCTTAATTTTTCCCTGACTTTTTATCAGATTTCCCTGACTTTTACCTGATTTCCAGTACAATATCGTTTTCCCTGACTTTTCCCTGATTTCCCTGACCGGTATGGACCCTGGATAGATATGATATGTGGATATATCAGGGTGTCCACTTCCCGGTGCCCTTTGGAATTCCCGGCTAATTTCCGGTTTTTCCCGGTCCCAAAAACGACTTTTCATGCCAATTTTTCGGTAAGTATAGCAATAGTGCAAAAATACTGAGACGCTTAAAATAGGGTGTTCAGAGTAATGTAATCGAATTTTTAAAAAATGAAATAAAAAAACATTTTATATGAACGATGGGATTTAGTCATTGTCACGGCGGCGCTACGCTTGCAAGAAAATTACAATTTTCTGCAAGAAAATTACAATTTTCTGCAAGAAAATTACAATTTTCTGCAAGAAAATTACAATTTTCCCGGTGCCCATGGCATTTTCCCGGCTAATTCCCGATTTTTCCCGGCGTCACAAAATTCCCGGCTAATTCCCGATTTCCCGGAATTTCCCGGTGAGTGGACACCCTGATATATGTTGAACAATATTTAGAAAGATAGATCAATTTAAGCCTAAATCAAATGAATGTACCTTATAAAGCCTGAACTATTTTGTCTCATGTCTGTCAAAATACTCTGTTGATGGTGTGTTATTTAAATCAAAGTTTTCATAAAATGTGTTTTATTGTTTTCTAATAAAATCTGAGGCTAAATATGCTAAGTAAAAATACTTAAAATCTTGTGCCAAATACTAAGATTCACACTGATTTATTCACATATTTGATAATAAATTATTTAGAAATTAAATGCTTCAGAGGATGACAACACCCTTTACATTTGTACAATAGTTCATTTCACTTGATATCAAACACAGAAATCTTTTACAAAAATTCTTTAACATTTAAATTCCCTTCCCTTAAAAGTTGAAAGTTTAACAAGACAACAAAATTATAAAATTTGCCAAATGAAACTAAATACACATTACGCAAGCGTGTGCCATTTAGCTCACCACTAAGCAGTAGATGATACAGCAAGTTTCTTGAGATGCTCCATAAAGACCTGAAGGCTGACATCATCTGTGAGGACAGGGGCACCACTTTCCTGCAACACACAATAGACAAGAACATCAAGGTAAATGGTTTGAAAGTTGAATGGAATGAGTATCCATGCAACACATGCAAGCAATTGCCATAACATGAGATCCCAGAGGAAAGTATGCACAAGATGCAAGGACAGAAGCATAAAACAATTCACAAAGAAGACTCCATCCTTATCCCTGGAAACTGCAGCTGCAAAAAGATTATCCTACTTCAATTAGGCCTACTTGTAAAAAAGAGCAAGAAAATTACAGATTATTATGGTTATAATTAATGTATGTCTGAAGGAAATGTTCTACCACAACTTTTAGACTAAACAGAAGCATGCTGTAGGTATTACAGGGCATTTTAAGGGTCGTCCACATATTAAGTCACGCGTTTGGGGGGGAGGGGGGAGGTCTACGCTAGCGTGACGGTCCTCCTATACCAAAAGCATTGGAAGATTAGGTTAACCGCGTGACGTGTGGGGAGGGGGGAGGGGGGTCAAAAACTGCCAAAAATAGCGTGACGTAATATGTGGACGACCCCTTAATACTATAACTATATGTTAATTTTAATATTCAATCACAATTAATTTGAACATTTTTTAAAAGCTACCACCACTGAAAATGTAGACAGTTAATAGGAGAGCACCAATTGAAAATTACAGATTTTTTTGTGACTCAACTTGTAGCTTCAAACCAAATAAGACAAAATCCCCAACAAAGAAGAGACTTTAAGTGCCTGTAAAAATTATTGTGCCAGTTCTTCTCACCAAATATCCCCAAAACATTTCCAAAATCGAGGACCCAGAAACCCAAGACTGTACTTTGAAATACCTTATTTATTCGATTCTCTAACCCAAAAGTCGGGGTGCGGTCGCGTACCCGATTTGCAGGGGTCATATGGAAATCTTTCCTGTGACTCCCAAGTAAAATTTTGTGTGTGGATTAGAATCGAATAATTATGGTATGCTTTGAAGGAAAATTAAGAAAGAGACAGCTATTATGTATGATACAGGATGTGCAATTTAAGAGAAAACAACCCAGGTACCCAATCACGCATTCAAACAAAATAAAATAAAATAGTACCCCAGAGCTTGCAGGCACCATCTGTCAAAACAAAGAAGAAATTGATGAAATATTTAAGGGGGAACAATTTCTAATGAAATACATACCAGTCAATCCTTTTAAACTAAGCAAATACATCCATGCAACATTTCACAAAAACTACACATGTATGTGATAGCTAACAGTTAACTACAAAAGAAGTCAAATAAATTCTATAAGACATGAGATTAGGTTAACACTTACCCCTCCATAAGCATACATATTATTGTGTGTTTGAGATGGATTGACTTTAGACAGCAAAAACCGAGCCTGTCAACAAAATTTCAGTGAACATCATGGGGCAGTGAATAATCTAACAACAAAATAATTCATAGCAAATATTTCCATACCTGTGAGCCTCCTTGTTCTGTGTCAATATAGCGAGGCATAGGGAAGCGAGTCTGCAGAATCTCCTGAGCATCATCAACAGGTGCTTGAAGTAGTTGACGGAAGTTTTCATACTCTGGCAAATCCTGATAGCCTTGGGAGCGCCACTGAGCAATTGTCTGTAATTTTTAAACATATAAAATTTAGGTTATGGAAGAGAATACAGAAGAGTGTATTAGCTGGCAGCAAATGTTACCATAGATAGAAACTTACTTCACCATGGAAAATAAGGATTTGGAAAAATGTATCCATGAGTAAAATTCTATCTGGTTGAATACTGCTTGTATCCAGAAGTACTGGTTCAGGAGGACCATTGAAGCTGTAGCTATACAGGATAGGCTGGATCATGATTAGAGACTGTGTCAAGTCTTCTCTCATCAGCATATGCCTGGAATCAAACGTGAAAAATAAGAGTGATAATTTGCTACTAAAGGTACTTACACAGTGAACCATAATTTATTTACCTGTAGAAGGATGTTTCATCTGGACTGTTATTAAAGACTTGAAGAAATTGTGACCGACGCAAATGGTACATAAACTGTGGATATAGGCTGAAGTTCTCGGAGAGACGGAAACTATTTGGGTCATCCTTGTTGTATTCTCCAAACTTCTGGCACTGTACAAAAACAGAACAAAATTCCAGTTGCCAATTTTCTGTTTTTTCTAAATCATAACACAATTAGAGGAGTTACTTGAGACTAACCAGTCTGATGAGCATTCGATCAACCCATCTTAGAACGTCAGGACCATCATCAGTCTCAGCACGATAAACTACCATGCGAGACATCAAAACAGCTGCAGCCTCCTGATCGAAACCAGCACTAATGTGATGCAAGTTGGCAGACGCATCAGCCCAACTGAAAAACCATAGATTAGATTAAAAAATTTTCGTCCAGAAAAATAAATCAAAAATTAAATATTTAGCTTTGGAAATATATTCGGAAACACTTACTTGCGAGCAATTGTTGTTACTCGGATACGTCTTTGCCCACTTGAGTGTTGGTACTGAGTGATGAACTGGATGCAGCCTCTGCCACCTTGAGGAATAGGAGCAGCATGCTGTAAGAATGAAATGAAATGTAAGATAGGGCTCATAGATTTCCAAACTTGTGAACCAAATGGAGCAGACAGATAAATGAAATACCTGGTTAACAACTTCAAAGAAGAAAGCACAAGTACTACTTGGACTGAAAGTGCAGAATTTCCACTGACAAGTACCACCCATTCCAACTTCTGTTTCAGAAACACATGGTCCTTTAACATTCAAGGGAACACATGATCCTATAGCTCCCGAAACTGCAACATCAACCAGAATGTTAAAAGAATGGTAGATAAATATAAATAATGTCACATTGTTTAAGTATTAACCTTTCAACTCTCTTGAACACTTGATTTCAAGAGTGCCATTGAAGGCCATTTTCAATTCTTGTTTCTGGTCACGTACAAACACTCTCTGGAATGTTTGCTTGAAGAGGGATGAATTGAATGAATCACCCATCACCATATGGCCTCTGATGCAAAATACAGAGAATATAGCTGAGTTTTGCAATTTTGAAATAAGTAAACTATGTAAAATGTGTTCACATACCCAGTAGAGTTGCAGCACTGTTTCATTTCCAATAATCCTGTCTGGTCTAATGCACATGAGTATATGTCAATGGCATGACCATTGTTAGCAGAACGAACAGCTAGACCTTCATAATGTTTAATTGCCTTTTTCATGTACTTGGCAGCGTCTTTATGGATATCATGATGAGACCGAATGGGTTCACGAAGATCGTCATTTACAACTTGTCCTGGGCCCTGAGAGCAGGCTCCTCCAACAAACATCATGATACGGCCTCCTGTGTTGGGATACATGCACTGAAAAAATAATGTCTCATTAGAGTAGTGTGCTGCATCTCAATTTTTGAAGGTCTGATAAAACATCAAACATTGTATCCCTTTCATGGGATTTTGCTTCAAAACCCACATAAAAGGGGATTTTTAAAAGTTTAAAAGTTATTAGAACATGCATAATTTTTGACAGTCCTCAGTAAACCAGGAAATTGTAACTTTACAAATACATATTATGGAGACTGAATAGAGTAAATATAAGTGTTGGAGTCAGCAAGCACAGTTATTTCAAGCAACCAATCACACATATTACCCTGGCAGGTGCATCTTTGAAATGAGGACCCAGCCATAAAGTTGCCTGACAAAAACATGGCTTCTCATAAAACTGTAAAACTAATGCTATTTATGACAAGTAAAGTTCAATAATTGCTACCTACCTCTAATAAACCAACAGCAATAGAGAGAGCAACTCCAGTGGATCTTAAAGGACGTTTTCCAGGAGCAACTGGCCAAGGATCTCGCTGTAGTTCTCCCAGTAAGTCAGTGAGACTCATATCACATTTATGAACTGGTTGAAGGAACCTATTTGAAGATCAAATCAAGTTTAACATCTGGACACCAACTGTGATTGAGTATGAGACATGTGGAAAGGTGAAACAAACCGATTGGCAGGCAGAGGTTGTGAACCTGGGACTCTTTGCTGCTGTTGCTGCTGCTGCTGTTGTTGTTGAGGTCCAGTATATTTACCTATACCCAGCATGTCCTGGATTTGTTTTGCTGTGAGGTCTTTGGTACCACGGAAAACATAGCTTTTTGAGCAGCCTTCACACCCAAGTTCATGAACTTGCACCATTTTTCCAAATGTTATTAAGCCTATTAATGCATTAGGTGGAACCAGCGAAAGAGACATTTGTAATGAGTCCTTGAGTGCACCTAACTCTTCATCATCAACACAGGTATCCACAACTAATAGAAATATTGGGGGTAAGGACTGAGCTCTCGTGATTGTGTACTCAATTGTTGAAAACATTGGAATGAGTTCTGCAGGTTGATGCTGCTCTGAGATGGCACCATACTGTGGAGGAAATGGATTTCTCTGGAAGCAAAAGTTGCAAATCCACAACTTTGCCCGATAATCGACTTGGCAAATAGGATTCAGTATAGCTCGACAAGTAGTACGTGTGCAGAGAACAGGATCATATTGGATTGGAGGAAGGTCTGGGCGTTCTCTTAAGGGTTGGTAGAGACATCCAAGAGGAACAACAAGCCGGGTTGCTTCCACCCTACTTGATGGCCATACATTCCAGGTAAATCGTGTCCCATCACGTTCTTCATTTTGTTGAATAAACTCTTCATAAGTTGCCATCCTACAATTCAAAATAGAAGCCAGATTAGAAAAATAATTGTCGGCAAGTAATGACATACATAAATCTTTGTACAATAAACAAAGTTTTAAAGGAATGCTACAACACAATAGATTTCACGAAGAAAGCCTCTTTGGTGCATGACAAGTTTAAACTAATCAACCATACGGTTCAGAGGTTAAGTAGATCATAGTCAAAACAATAAAACTTTGATATATATTATACCATATTAGATCAATAGGTAAAAATCTCAAATTTATTTGTAAAATAAATTGTAAAAAATTGAAGAGAAGCTCTTAAAAGAAAAATGTCAAAAACAAAATATGAAAGTTTAAAGGGTTGGGCACTTAGCCTCGCAATCAGTCAAATTATAACTGTAATGCATTACAGAACAGAACTTTTAAAACCAGCACGTGTATTTTACTTCACTTAGAAGGACAACATTAATCAAATCACATTAAAAACTTTATGTTTTGACTAATTGTTGTCAGTGACAAGCTTTGACAGCCGTCTGCACAGGACTTCGAAGTTGGATTTCACAGAAACTAAAAAACGCAGAACTACGAAAGAAAACTCACGTATAGCCCGAATCTTGAAGAAATTTAACGGAGCGGCCGGAAAATTAAATGAAGGGACAAAATTCGCTGGAAACGTGAATTAAGGGTTGTGTCACAACATAATCTCATCACCAAATCCACGTCACCCGCACCCGTGCTGCGGAAGTACCAACCCGACGGCGCGGAAATCGTAACGAGTCACAATCACTGAGTTCGATAAAGACAAAAATTATTTTTGTTTAAAAAAAATTCCCATGTTAGTACGGACTTATTTTTGTAATCCCGATTTTATATATTTTCGCATCACTATTTTAATAAATATATTGCGTTGCGGTCTCCACAGTTACATCACAGTCGAGCAGCAGTTCCAGGTTTTCGTGTTTGTGTTCTGGCTCTCATGTCTCGGCCGGAGTGCGGGACGTTTGAATTACTCGGGCTGTAGTGAAATTAATCGACTTGCCCCAGCCAGCAAGAAACTGTAGTCTCTTGCAGCTTGTCAGAACTTGGACTTTAAGGTCAGAATCCTTTCGCTCATTATCGAAAGAGTACTAGAGTGCTAACGGCAAGGTGGTGCGGCAAGGGAACAAACCTTCAAACTTGTTCTAGGCCGACAAGCGCGGGTGGCATTGGTGGCGTAACGCTTACCCCC